AGTCCCACACAGGCAGCTGCAGGGCAGGGCCCCAGAGGCCTGGTCTCAGGACGCCAGCCCTCGGGCCTTTCTGCTACATCACCAGATGCCTGGAATTAGGGCAAACAGGTGTCTGAACACCCTGCAGAGTCCTCCCACCTAACAAGGGAAAACAGAACCGCTTGGGCGACGTCTCGGTCATCCAACTGTACCCGGGCCACGGAGACCTGCACGGAGGCGGCGCTGCGCCGGCAGTGTGGAGGGGAGCACCAGCCCCGACTGCTCCCCGTGGCCCCAGGGAGCCCAGTGCTGCCCGCAGCCTCCTCCGCTTCCAGGGACCCTGGGGCTCCCGAGTCCACCCCCCTGCAAGGCCCGGCCTCCAGTCCTGTGGGCCGCAGCCACCAGGGGGCCCCATGACCTGTCCAGCCATCACCTCATCTCAACTCCTGGACACCCAGCCGGGGAAAGGGGACCCTCAGCCACCCCACTTTCCTCCACCAGCTCACCCCTCCCTGGAAGAGCATCAGTCCAGGGCCACTCACTGCACATCTCATTTTCGGGGGGACTTTGGAAAAGAGGAAAGATCGAAGGGAGGCTCGGGAGGGTTTTGCAGGGTCAGAATGTGGCTAGGGAATCGCAGGACGGTCTCTGGGGCCCAGCCCCCTCAGCTCCACGCCACCCACCGTCCTCGTCCTCGTCCTCATCGTCCAGGCCCTCCACGTATCCCTCGGCGTCCGAGTCGGGGGCCTCCTTGTCGTCCCGGTCGTAGCCGTCGAGGTACGAGAGCTGCGGGAGCAGCTTGAACACATTTTCTCGGTAGTCGTTCAGGTTGGTCACCTCGCAGTTGAACAGGTCTAAGCTCTTGAGGTTTTCTAACTTCTTCTGCAAGCACAACACAGCCGACAGTGAGCGGTGCGCGCGAGGCGGGCAGGGGGACGGCGTGCGGGTGACGAGCAAGCTCCGCTTTGGCTCTGCTCGGCCTCGTCACCCGAAGACGGGCAGCTGGACCTGAGGACTGTTAGAGCGTCGCCCAGTGCCGACATGTCCACACGACAGTTTCAGCTTCTGCCCTAACAGACGGGCTTGAAAGGAAGCCGGGGCTCCCGGTGCGCGAGCCAAGAGCTCTGTGCCCGCCTCTGTCCAGGGACCCGAGGAGAAAACCGGCGGTCACCTCCAGGGTCCCCTAATTCCTGGACAGCTCCTCCCTCCCCCATGAAGGGCACAAGCCATGGTCTCAGCCTGAAGAAACGACAGCTCAGGCTGTCACAGTGGAGCAGAAATTCTAACAGGAAAAGGACAGGCCAGAAATCGAGCCCCGGGTCCCACCGCTTCCCCCCACCCCCCGCTGCCCACTCAGACTGTGTGACCCTGGCCAAGCTCTATTTCTCAAGGCCTCAGTTTCTCTACGGACGAAGCAGAAGTGTCTCAGCGCAGAAAGTCAAAGAAAGGAAGATTAAAAAACAGAAGTCCTCCACATGTAGAAGCAGGGTTCCCGGCCCCAGTCCCTCCCGCCCGTGGAGAGGCGAGGACCCCAGTGACTCACCAGTGGCTCTATTGTGCTGAGGTCTTTAATTTTGTTGCCACTTAAATTTAGATGCGTGAGGTTCGGACACTTTTCTGCCAGTATTTCCAGGCCCCCTGAGATTCTGTTATCGCTTAGTTCAAGCTAAACACGGCAGGGAGAGAAGAGGCAAGAGCGGCTCTTACAACGAAGACCCCCCTGGGCCCCGGCCGCCCGGCTCCCGGCAGACGGGCCGGGAAGGGAGCTCGGGGCTCACGCGGCCTCGCCTCCAGCCGTGCTCCCTTGACGCGAGGAAACAACCCCCGGCCCCCGCCCTGCCTCCCGCACGTGCGCTCCGCTGTTCACCTTCTTAAGTTTGTTTAACTTTGGTAAGTTTGCGACTGAAGTGAGGCCTACGTTGATTGTGCTCAAGAACTGCAGCTCCTCAAACTCATCTGTGAGGCCTTCGATTTTGCCGTCGTTCGACCGACAGTTGTCCAGGACGAGCTCCTTCACCTGGAGGGAAGGGCAGCGTGAACCGGGGCAGGTGGAGGGCAGGGCGCGGACCCGGGGCGCGTCCTCCAGCTGCCCAGGGCCGGGGCGGGGCGGGCGGAG